AATAGGCCCTACATATGGGTGTCATCAAACTTTACCCCCCACGTGTTGGAATCGTTTTAGTATTTTTGTCCATCGTTCCCATGACACCAGCTCCCAATAACGGCAGCCACCGCAGTAGAGACGAGCGTTGATCAGCGTCCTTTCATTCGCAGCGGCTGTTCCCGCGGCGCCTGTGGCTCCGGCTCCGGCTCCGGCTCCGGTCCCGGTCCCGGTTTCAGTTCCAGCTCCGGCTCCAGCTCTAGCCCCGGTCCCAGCTCCGGGCCCCGCGCCGGCCCTGCCGCCGGCGCTGTACTCGCGTGACCTGGCCAGCATGAACTTCCGGCCCGGGGACAAGATACCGGTGTGTGGCCGCAGCTACTCTCGGTGTGGCTTGGCCGCCGGACGGGCCGGACCGGTCAGACGATAGTCGACAGGGCCGGGTAGCACCATGCCACGGTACTGGCGTTCAGTTGGGTTCGGTGTTGTTTACGTGTTCGTTTACGTGACCGACAATCGTCTTCCCTTTGAAATACGGTGCCCGATAGGTGTTCTGTCTAATCGCTGATTGAGTGAACCGCGAAAGGGATCCAGTGATGGTTTGAGCGGCCCGCCTTCCCAGGCCTTCCTTTTCACTGCGCGGGTCTCCAGCGGTCGCGCGTGCGGCGCGCTCGGGCCAGTTGCGCCCAGCCGGGCGCGCCGCTGGGTGTGACGCGGCTGCCCGTCCGCCGGCAGTTTCTGGTGACCGAGGTGGTGAGCGTCGACGCTCTGTACGCCGACGCCGCTGACTGAGAGTGCCGTGGCCACCATGGCCGAGCTGGACCGAGCTGCTGCCGACGCTGGCGGCCGCGCGCGCCGCCCCTCCGCGCCGCCCAGGCCGAGCAGCTGCTGCTGGCGCCGGCGACCGCCGCCGACGGTACGGTGCAGCTGGGGCGGCCGCGTGGGCGCCCGGCGATGCTGCCCGCGGGCGGCCGGCGTTTGCGGTTGGAGACAATTGTTGACAACACAAACACAAGCCGATGAGTTCGTGTGTGGTCGGACGTTCACTCCGGCCACTGGCATTCGGCAGGAGGGCACGATTAGCCACTGGAATTGTTGCCGTTTTGAGGGTCGGTGTACGCGGTCTGCGTGCGCGCGCAAGTTATCAGTGCTGTAATTGCTGTGGAGTTGGGTGTAGCGTGACGTATGTATGCGTCCTCCATCGGGAGGCGGCTGGTCGTCAGGTCAGGTCAGGTTAGGATAGCCTTTTGTGCATGCTATACTCCGAGATGCGATGGCCGTGTTTTCCGTCGATATGCGCCTGGCAGCTCTGAAGCACTGGCTGTGACAGTTCAGGAGGCTTCGGTGTGTGCTCTAACGTGACGGAGGTGTGTGTGCCCGGTCGGCGGGCGCCTGGTTGTCGCAGGTCTGGAACCCCGGCCATTTCAGGAGGCCTCGGTGTGTGCTCTAACGTGACGGAGGCGTGTGTGCCCGGTCGGCAGGCGCCTGGTCGCGGGCCGTGGCGCTGGACACGTCCTCGGATCCGGTACACGTGTGGTTCGTGGACCACGGCTGCCTGGAACCGGTGCCGGCCGCGCAGCTGCGCCTGCTGCCGCCCCAGCTGACCCGGTTCCCGGCCGGCGCTGTCGACCTCACCCTGACAGGTCAGTGAGTCGCCCCCGATGAACTCTCACCTCCGCCGTGTTGGTGACAGTTCAGACACCATGCTTCACCCTGGCCAGACCTGAGCCTGAGCTTGACGGGTCGGACGCCCTGGCGGATCCCTGCGTTTGTTACTGTTTTGTGTGTGATGACGAGCCAAGCATCTGGTTTTTAGCTGCTGGTTCAACTGTGTAGACATTATTCAGTCCAATCAATATTTTGCTCGTGCTTGAAAATTTCTTGAACATCGGCCACACCAGCTCAGCTGCCAGCTGTGTTGCAGTTCTAGAGCTCGGGAGCCGTGTTTCTCCCTACTCGAGCTCTGCGCCATGCGTCGCTCCGCTCTGCGAGCGAGTTTCCGCGTTACACGGCCCCGCTCCGGCCGACGGCCACTGACCGGCGGCGCCCGGCCTCGCCACCAGGGCTGGGACAGCTGAGCGAGCCGCACGCCCAGCTGGTGCAGCGGCGGCTGGCGGCAGCCGCCCAGGAGCCGCTCGAGCTGGAGGTGGTCGGCCCGGCCGGCGACGGGTTCGCCGTCCGCTCGGACCAGCTGACCGCCGAGCTGCGCGCCGCTGGCGCCGCCGTCTAGACCCGGCTGGCCGGCTCGGGCGTTCCCGAGCCGCGGTGGCGCGCTCAGTGGCCGCACCTGCGGCGCGATCGGACGTGCCGCGCGCGTGTGCCATGTAGCCATGTGTACTTATAGACATTGACTGTCGACGTCGGGTGACGGCGGAGCGGGCTGCAAAGCCGCGCCCTCTCGCGCTTCGCCGTGATCGTGTGCAGGAGCCTTTTTTGGACGGGGGTGGAGCGCACCTCGCGTCGACGCGGGCCCTGCGTGGTCGTTTGGTTCTCACCTGCTGCACCGGCCAGCGTCCGGTACGGTCGTTTCCAGTACAGAGTCGTCTTTCGAGCCACCTTTTTACGTTGATGTGACCTGTGACTGCGTGCGTTTGAGTGTGGGCAGAGGGCACTGTAGCGTGGTGCTGCTGTGATGCGGCGCGTACGCCTCCACCTCGCGCCGCCGGGCCCCGGCGGAGCGCTCTCTGCATGAGGTTTCAATACACGCTGACGGGTTTCGCACAGGAGCGTGTTGGCCGGGGACAGAGGCGGGTCAGCTCCCGGCAGCCGGGGGCCGCTCGGCCCCAGGACCCCAGGCGATGGGGTGACGTGGGGCGAGACTGGGACGCCACCTGGAGGCTGGGGAGTGTTGGAGCTAACTTGTGCGTGAGCGTGTGCACCAGCAAGACCAGCCATGGAGTGGGACGCTTTGCGGCCCCTCGCCCTCCTTCCTGTCGCCAGGCCACGGTGTCACGTCCACCAACTCGATGCCCGTCAAATGTCTGCAGGCTCATGAATAACACCTAGAGCTCCGTCAGCGATATGCTTCGACCGTGCCAGGCAGTGTCTTGTGGTAGCCACTGTTGAAGCTCATTGTGATCGCTCGCGGTCGCGATATTGCCCAGGCTAATCGCGCATGCCGCGCAGGGGCACGGGGGCGGGAGCATCTGTCTGATGAATGGTAATGCTGTAAGCAGGGGCGAATCCAGGATTTTGTCAAAGGGACATGCAGCCTTGTGGGCCCCCTAGAGCTTGAGGCCCTCACTAAAAAATCCTCGCACCCGATTATAAAATTTCAATATTTTTTAGGATGCTATTTTTATACGGAAACCCATTTCACTCTACACAGCCCTACAAAACTAGGCATGCCATGTGAACGCATGCAAAGAGTTATTAATTTTCCTTATCACGGTGAATTCGGTCATTTTGAGGCGAAGTATGTCGAAGAACGTGCAAAATAAACCAAAGCTGGCTGCTAAATGAGATCAAAGTCAAGCACGGACATGATACCTATGTTATTTACGGCTAGTCGGCTGGTCGATGTTATCAGCTGATGACTGATGCAAAATTTTCGCTTTGTCTGCTAAGAAGGAACACAAAATTGCCAACATCCAAAATGCAACAAGAACGTGATGCACAGATATAAACACTAACAATGTCAATAACCAACGGAAATGACAAGGCGTCGGCGGCACATAAAATTACGTTCGACGATTGCCAGCGAAAATTCATCGGTGCGTATCCAACCGTTGCTATAAGACATGCTCGACACCGTTTTAACCCACTCGCTTGCCTCGGTACTTGTGTCTATACGTGTCCGACCAGTCCCGCTGACGGCACTACCGTCACATGGCGCATGACAGCTGACGGTCCGCCCGGCGGTGCGCGCCGTAACCGTCATGCCGTCACCCGTCCTCTGTCAAGCGGCGGATTGCTGGGTCTAGTCGGGCCGACGAGTCTGACGGTTTCGGAGAGCCAGACGGACGGCTGTCGCGCACCGCGTGACCGCATCAGGTTGGTCGGCGGCCGGCGTCATGCAAGCCGTCCCGTCCCCTCTCAGACAGTGGTGTTGAATCTGGTCGAACTCGGGCTGGCTGGGCGCAATAGATAGTGTGTGATGCCCGGCAAGACGCGGTGCGGCAGCGACAGCAGTCTGATGACGGTCGACAGTGACTGAGACGACTTGGTCTGGGGCGTCACCGACGACGTGCCGCTGGCGGCGGCGGTGGTGTTTTGGCGCTCGTGTGGCCGACGGCGTGAAGCTGAGCCAGCAGCTCGTCCTTCAGGCCACCCTTCGGGTCGGTAGTTGCGGCCATTCAGTTGGTTAGAACGCGGGAAGATGCACGGCGAGAGATTCGTCGCGTAAGTGCGGATAATTTGACTCAAGAGTATATACGGTCGCCATGTGGGGCGCAACACGAGGAGGAAGGTAATTGGGCCGTGGATGGCGTCTGGCACCCAGCTCAAGCTGACCGCGTTGGTGGTCAATATTGGGGATTGCCGTTAAGTCTGCAACGCGCAAGTCTCCCGGGTGAAGGCGGCCGTGCCGTACGGCCGTGCTTAGCTGCCCCGTTGGTAGGGTTCTGAAACAGGCTCTGCTCCGTCCAGAAAATGAGTGTTTCTCTGTCTCGGGTCGAGCTCGGCGTTTCGCAGCTGGTTGGCTGAGCAGCACAGCCGGCATCAGTCTAGTCGCGTGGGTCACCCGGCGACCCCCAGGGCGAATTGTTCTCACACAATCACGTGCATACGACGGGGACGCGAACCATGACCGAGGCCGCAGAATAACCGGCAAGAGTATTGTATTTCCCTTGAGGCAAGATCCGTAATCATGACAGACGCACTGACGTCTGATGTTAACACACATGCAGAATTTTCTCTCTGCCTCTCTCGGGCGCCATCCGCCATCATAAATAGTGGTATTGACGTCACTTGATGTAACTAGCTGACGCAATGAATATCGTTTTCTGGCCCTTCACATTATAGACTGCCTTGGCGCATGTGTACGCCATTTGCCCTGCGTCACATACGCCTGCATACGAAGATACGTGGTTACGTGACGAGTTCGTGCGTTGGGTTGAGCGGTCTTTGGGAGAATCGTTGAATTTAGGTGTCGTGGTTCCTGAAGGGATAGGGCATCTGATAAGCCAATTAGGTAAGTACTTTTTTGATCGACTGAGAATCTTTCCGGTCCATTTGTGAGCCAAAGATAGGCATGATAAACACCTAAACGTTCTTGGCTCCGATGCAACGTTCGTCGGCACTGTATCTCAACATTCATTTTCATTCAAAGGTACGCGACACGCAGAATGCGAGTCGCTCCCGATGGCTCAAGCACATACCTACCCATGCACCCACCCATGGCAGGGTGAGTTGGAGTTGCTTCAGATCAGTTTTGGAAATTCAAAAAATGCTCCTGGTAGCAGAGTACAAATTTTCCAGTTCAGGGTGTACTTTCCTACCTAACATTTGAAAAAAAAATCTGTACACCATTCATCATGTTTAAGGCAGGACATATCATAAATAATCACAAAACAGATAGATTCATGCTCTTACCTTCAAATTTTTATAATTACGATGGCGAGCTCCTGAGCGCCGCACACGCACAGCAGCTGCAACACCGGTGTCATTACTGTGTGTGGTAACAACATTACTGTGCATCAAGCAGCATCAAGAACCATAAAAATGTACTGGGCCAAGGTAACAAGAATCCATGAAATTTGATCCTTGACACCAACGGGTCAATGGGTTGCAAGGGGATTGGGTGGGGAATGTTAGGTTAGGTTAGGTTAGGTTAGGTTAGGTTAGGTTAGGTTAGGTTAGGTTAGGTTAGGTTAGGTTAGGTTAGGCTCAGTTCAGTTTGGTGGGTTAGGTTAGGTTAGGTTAGGTTAGGTTAGGTTAGGTTAGGTTAGGTTAGGTTAGGTTAGGTTAGGTTAGGTTAGGTTAGGTTAGGTTAGGTTAGGTTAGGTTAGGTTAGGTTAGGTTGATTTTGAGCAAGGGGATAAGCAATAGGCAGAGAACCCCAGGCCAGGGAGTGATAACATGAAAAAATATTGTTATCTCTGCCACCCAAGTGGTCAAATACTGAAATGTTGCCAGTGCCCCAGATTTTCCAGATGAGCAGCTAAACCACTGCACTACCAGCATGCTTCACTATGTTTGGTGAGCACATGTTGACTGCTCACAGTCTGCAATGGAAGATATAGGTCACTTGCCATCACAGGCAAGAGTGTGTCTGAAAGTATGGGTGCCAAAAGCAATTTTGCAGTTGGTTCCTTCCATGAGTTGCCATGTAGTTAATGTTCATTGTTTTCTGGAAGCAAGCATACTGTGGCACTAACAGCCCCATTTCTCAGCATCTGCTTATCATTGATGAATTGCAGAGGGCTGGTCTGGTTCCTTGAAATGTAAACCGGCCATATCAAAGGCTCCTTTGCACAAATAAATGCAGTATACATCCAAAGGTTTTTAATGCTGAAATGCAGGCTGGACAGATGTGTAATGGGGATTACAAGGTGTCCTGCAATTGATGCACGGTTGGTGTCACCTATGATTTCTCCTCTCCCGAACACCAAGTGAGTGCAATTTTGCCGCGCTCGGCCGCAGGGCATCCCTCCGTGTCAGTAGATCACGTGATCTTAGCGGCCGGCCTGACTTGGGCCGGTAGTGGGCAGGAGAAGTAATTCCTTTCGAAATAGCCGACGCGTTGAGTCTGCCTATCGCCAATGGTGAAAGAGCACAAGCCATCGATCCGCTTCCGCACGGTTGGGATGGTCAAGGGCGACATGATCCAGGTTCAGGTCGCCAGCGACTTGGGCGTTAACGTAGCGATGATTAGGCGCTGGCTGACCCGCGACCGCCCAGGAGAGACACTCGAAAACCGCGCAGGTCGTGGGCGAAAGTCGGCCTTGAGCCGAGTGGCGAGTATCGTCATTGCAAAGTCGGCCTTCAAAAGGCGGCACTTGACGAGAAACCTGGCGGGGAAAACTGACGGCGAAGAACCACCCAGCATCCAAGACGTCCGTCCACCGGTATCTGAGGACCAGCCTGCGACTGAAGTCGCTCAAGCTCAGGGAGCAGTCAAGGCTTACCGTGGACCAGAAGCGCAGGCGGCTGGAATTCACCAAGGCCCGCAAGAACTGGTCCGTTCAGGACTGGACACGCGTCCTGTTCAGTGACGAGTCGCCCTTCGAGCTCTTCCAAGCTCCTAACCTCCAGAACGACTGGGTCTGGACCAACAACAGCTCGGAGTTGCGGTTCGCCGAGACAGCGAAGCAGCTGCCAAAGATTATTATCTGGAGCCTGATGAGCTACAGAGGCCTCTCTGAGCTTCACCAAGTCCCGCGAGGGCAGACCGTCACCGCCGACTACCACGTCAGAGAGGCGCTGGAGAAGACTGCAGCCCTGGCCATGCTTCAGAGGGAGTGGAATGGCCTGTCAACCAAGGTCAAACTCCTACCAGACATGTCCAGGGCGTATTTCCAGCAGGACAGCGTTCCAGTTCGAGATCAAGAATCTCGATCGAGAATCTCTGGACGATCGTCACGGAGGAGGTTAGCGGATTTCGCCGGCCACTTCAGTTAAGACCCTGTTTCAAAACGTGCAGGCAGTATGGCAGAGGGTCAAGGCAGAGACTCCCGAAAACATGATGTGCGGCGTGCTCGAGCACATGTGGCATTGTATGTGACTGCATGGGGATTGCATTAGCCAATAAATCGTGAACTGTTCTTGATTATTTTCTCCGTCTGGTAGGACGATACAACCGCGCATCAGTCTCGGGAATCCTGTAGGTTTTGATACCAGGATGTGCAGGAAGTATATGCTCAATGCAAAACTAAATAAAAATGAAGTTAGTTGGCTGAAACATTGGTTTAGTTGGTCATAATACATGAGTGCCTCTCACCACAAGGTCGGAATCTTTACAAGACAGTACACTGGCACCAAATGTACAGTGCACCAAACTCTGTTTTGAATTTTTTCTGAGCATGTGTAAGGCAGTGTGCGAGCTGTCATCCAACACAGACTCATTTTCACTGCAGGCTGTGGAATGTTTCTCACTTCAGACTTGATTTCTGGCATTTTCCATACTGAGTCTGTTTCTCCCTCTCTGGGTAATTATGGTGAACTTCATGTACCAGCAATCCAATATTTCTCTCCTCCCAAGATAAGATGTCTGCCACTGTTTGCCCATTGTACTGACACACAGCCAGTTTGTTGAGAGATCAGCTTGCACAACAGGCTCTGCATAAAGGGGACGCTGCACATTGGATGATGTTGAAGAAAGCATCAGATAGGATGAAAGAAGCTCAGCTATAAATATTGATATAGGTTTAAGTTGGAAATATTTCCCCAGACACCACAGTTTCTCTATGTAGAGAATATACTTCTCAATACATCTTGTTTCATTGTGAAATCACACCCTGTACAACCTTGAATGAGAGCCTATTGAGGGCCTTTATATACATATATGGAAATAGTGCTCATGAACCGCCAGATACAAACAACTCAACAATTATAGTCTTTAATCCAGGGGTGTCAATTTTGTGGAATTATGGGGGAAGGGGCGGGACCAAAGGCCTGACAGCCAACCACCCATTTTTTTTTCTTATCAGGTTAAGGTCACTTTATTGTGATTAACCATAACATATGCTTTAAATCTTTGCATAATTTGTAAAAGTCTTTAATTTAAGCAGGATAGAAGTCATGCAGGGTTAGCAGGGAGCAGGCACTGGACGCACATGTCTGTTCTGATCGGTGCGTGAAGACGCCTCTTTAGAGGCCACGTTAGGGCACAGGTGGCTCTCTTCTATGGCGGTCATGGGAGGCGGCATGCATTTCGGTTGTGGGGGACGGGGACGGGGTGATCTATGAAGGACTTAGGTCATCCTCATATTCCAGAGCTTTTCACTTTAACCTCACAAATCATTGTGTGTCTTATGGCGCTAGGTATGCGAAGCTTATCGCATCATTTATCCGCTCAGCTGCTATGATTTGTTGATATATAAACAGCATATCGTTCGCATTCAAGGGAGTGTCCCGGATTTGTATGATAGATACAAGACACAAATCATAGCAGCTGAACGGATAAATGATGCGATAAGCTTCGCATACCTAGCGCCATAAGACACACAATGATTTGTGAGGTTAAAGTGAAAAGCTCTGGAATATGAGGATGACCTAAGTCCTTCATAGATCACCCCGTCCCCGTCCCCACAACCAAAATGCAGGCCGCCCGCCCAGGACCGCAGAGAAGAGAGGCCACCTTGGCCCCTAACGTGGCCTGCTAAAGAGGGTGCGGTCTTCCGCACCGATATATATGAGTATAGATTTATATATGCGCAGAGAGAGATGGAGAGAGGAGATGGATGAGGAGAAGCGAGAGCGAGATGCGAGAGCGAGAGGAGAGCGAGAGCGAGAGCGAGAGCGAGAGCGAAGCGATGCGAGAGCGAGGAGCGCGAGCGACGAGAGCGAGCGAGAGTAGAGAGAGAGGAGAGAGAGAGAGAGAGATGAGATGATTAGAGAGGAGAGAGAGATGAGAGAGAGGCGAGCGAGCGCGCGAGGAGAGCGAGCAGAGCGAGAGCGAGAGCTGAGAGAGAGCGCGCGCGCGCGCGCGCGCCGCGCGCGCGCGCCCCGCGCGCGCGCGCGCGCGGCGCGCGCGCGCGCGCGCGCGCGCGCGGCGCGCGCGCGCGCGCGCGCGCGCGCGCGCGCGCGCGCGCGCTCGCGCGCGCGCGCGCTCCCGCGCTCGCTCGCTCGCTCCTCCCTCTCCGGAGCGAGGAGAGCGAGCGCTGAATCGAATCAACGATATTGAGCGAGAGCGAGAGGAGAGCTAGAGCGAGATATTATAGCTAATCTATCTAACGAATCGAGAGCGAGAGCTCGAATCTATACTAGAGCGAGAGTCGATAGCTAGAGCTAGAGCTATATAGAGCTATAGCGAAGCTAGATCCATTATCTAGAGCGAGAGCGATATCGAAGCGAATCTAATCTATATCTATAGTATATCTATATATTCTATCTATTCTATCTAGATCTATATCTATATCTATATTCTATCTATCTCTATATCTATATATATTCTATATATATTATATATTATACTTATATATCTATATATATATGTTATAACATGTAATCCTGCTCTCCCATCACTGAGTATGATTTCAGTGCCACAGCACGCCTCATGGGTGATACCATTTGTATTATTTTGAAGAATGCTGGTAAGCGAGTTTGACTGGGCATATTGTGTAATGAGATTGTGTGCTGACGTGGACGGTGCCTGGTGCCGGGTGTTCAGTCGGCAGGGATGCCTGTCGCCCTGCTGGAGCTGGAGGATGGTAGCGCGGCCGACCCTCCGGCGGCCGACGGCACCGAGGAGTCGACCGACGCCGCCAACTCCGGCGGCGAAGTGCCGCACAAGCCCAAACACGTGGTCGGCATCATTTACCCGCCGCCGGAAGTGAGGAGTATCCTTTTCTAGCCATCAGGTGGTAGAGGCGCAAAGGAATGGGCCGGCGGGTGACACTCTGGAGTTTATGGTGTTACATTTTGTGAGCTCATGCTTTTTGAGCTCATGTTTTATTGTTGAAGCATCTATTCATGGGCTATAATTCCCTAGATGCTCGTTAGTTTTGCAGCTCAAATCTGTGGTTTTAACATTGTGCACAGTTAAAAGTCCATCGTCGTGCCAATTGTCAAGGTGGATTAGTCTTTGTATGAATCATGCATATGACCAGTTATTTGTAAATGACTGGGATTACCCGGCTTCGATGGGAGATTCCCAATCATGACTGCGCAGGTACTCATAAGTATAATGCAAAGCCAATTTGCAATGTGCAAGGTCGATGTGATGCATCGCTAGTTGCGTTGCACTGGTTTGATGTCGGTGTTGATCGTTTATTATCGAGTCATTGTAAACAGCGCCTAAAACGTCTTGATGTTTGTTGGTGTTTTGGTACTCCAAGAAGCACGGTGCTCCAGTGTTATTGCTGGAGCAGTAATACAAAATAATTTGCTCTGACATACTCATCAGTTATTAACTTAGTTTTTGAAGCATTGTCCAGTCCCAGATTTTGTACTGGACCTAGTCACAATCCTCACAGTCACAAAGTTTGCGAAGTATAAAAACAACAGTAGTCACGTTTTCAATCCCCAAATGCGTGGAGGTCCCTGTGTAGGCGATGTCAGATAACAACTTGAGCAGATGCAAGCGTTATGGCCGTTTCCTTAGCGGAAGTAACTAGACATCGTCGACAAGACCGCAAGCTTCGTGGCCCGGAATGGGCCCGAGTTCGAGTCGCGGATCCGACAGAACGAGCTCAACAACCCTAAGTTCAACTTCCTCAATGGCGGCGACCCGTACCATGCCTACTACCAGCACAAGGTCGACGAGATCAGAGAAGGAAAGTCAGGTGAGTGGTGATGTGGCACCAAGTTGTTGCCACTTACCGTGTAGTTATTACCGTAAGTCGAGTTATTACCACTTAGCGGCCCCCAGCTGGGGGCTAAGTAGCTCAGCCTGTGGTAAGACGTAGTCTCACTCAAGGTGAGGTGAGGCATTGACAGCCTGTCGGCCGCGTGACGCGACACATGATATTGATATTTAGCATACCGAATTGGCTAGCTCCCTTATGCCGTCGTGTGCGCGTTGGCTCTCGCCTGGCCGCGGGGCGTGACGCCGGGTGACGCCTGCCGCAGAGCCGGTGGGCACGTCGAAGCCGCTGGTACCGCTGCAGCTGACGCCGCAGACGACCGGCGGCGCGGCGCCCGCGCCGGCCGCCGCCACCGCCGCCGCCACCGGCAGCGGCCAGGTGCGCGCCGGCCAGGAGATGTTCCGGCCGGCCGTTGAGAAGCAGATGGTGGTGACGGAGCCGCCGGCCGAGTACGAGTTCATCGCCGACCCGCCCTCCATCTCGGCCGTCGACCTGTGAGTGGGATGGACCCGGTGCGCTGGCCGTCGCTGTATGACTGCGCGGCCCGATCCGGCCGTCATCTTTCCGTACGTCCGAGTACTCAGACGACAGACGGCAGAGTCTGGACTCTACCGTCCGGGCTTGGTCTGTTCTTTGTTCTGAGAGCGCCAGCGTTGGCCGCTCTCTCGCCGTGCCTTCAGCATACGCTGTCGTCTCTCACACATAGTGCTCATCGTGACCTTTTTTGAAGGCGTGTGATCCTGACATCAGCTGAGGATGCTGGTGTTACGTATCACACTATCCGTCGCATGCGGTGCGGTGTGTCTGGAGCGGTTTCTGACGGTATGTTTCGTTCAGGGACATTGTGAAGCTGACGGCTCAGTTTGTGGCTCGGAACGGTCGCCAGTTCCTCACCAACCTGATGAATCGAGAACAGCGCAACTACCAGTTTGACTTCCTGCGGCCGCAGCACTCCCTGTTCCAGTACTTCACCAGACTGCTCGAGCAGTATACTAAGGTGCTGCCCAGGGTCCGCGTATTTTAGTCGTGTCACTGCCGCGCGGGCTGGAGCACGAAGCTCATTCGGATTTTCGAAGCCGGGGTTGTTGAATTGCGCGTGAAATGTAGTGCCACCACGGCAGCGTTGAACTGAGCAATATCGATGCAGCAAGGGTGAGGTTTGTGTATGGGGAAGTTCTGGAAGCTGTGTTAGACTTGTCAATCGCCCCCGAGCCGCCATGTGTTAGAGGATCGCCCGATGTCCTCAGGTGCCTCCCTTCCTCCCCAACAACCTCCAGGCATTGAGGCACTGCGGCCGGGGTTAGTGTTTCGCCCGTCGCCCGTGTCTGTCGGACGCCTCCGCTGACCCCTCCCCACCCCTCGTCAGGTGTTGATCCCGCCCAAAGACCTGATGGCCAAGCTGGACGCCGAGTGCAACTCGCCGGCGCAGGTGCTGGACCAGGTGCGCTACCGTGTGCAGTGGGATCGGCTGCAGGAGGCGCGCAAGCGGCGCGAGGAGGAGGCCGTGGAGCGCGAGCGCGTCTCATACGCGCAGATCGACTGGCACGACTTCGTGGTGGTCGAGACTGTGGACTACCAGCCGTGGGAGCAAGGCCAGTTCCCGCCGCCCACCAACCCCGGCCAGGTCGGACAGCGCGTCCTCATGCAGGTGAGATGACTGGGGATGTGTGTGTGTGGGGGGGGGGGGGGGGGGAGGAGCACCCAGCTGAACTGACGGTGGTTGGAGTGTGTTGAGAGAACGGGCCCGAAGCTTTGACGAGCACCAGGGGCTGCGGGAGGGGTCGGTGGCAAGTGGGCGTGATTACCTTTAACGTCGGTATTTTCGTAGGATGGGATCAAAAGAAAGGTGCGATGCAGTTTCCAAGGATCTATATGCGCGGCGTGTGAACGCCAGGCGCCCGCGTGTTTTAACTTAATTGCAAAGCTTGTCGCTTTTGCACTAAATGTAATATCCCGCGTAGCACAGTTCCTAATTTTATAATGTTTTCCAGCTTTTACCAGCGAGGAGCATTTTTGTCACGAATTGTGCCATGGTGTGTCCGCTTGGTGCTGGGCGTATCCGGTCTCCTGACAACGATGATAGCTTTCAGCTGATTTCAGTCCAGATGTGAACAAATATCTAATGGCCACTGGCCCACGGCAGTGTCCGTACGGGACTGCATCAATGTGAACTGAAATGTCTGCGTCGCGGCGCGCCCCTTGACCTGGTCACCCCGTCGCCGCGTGCAGGAGCGGATAGACGACGGCGAGGAGATGCAAATGTCCGACGAGGAACCCGAGCCGGAGCCGGAGCCAGAGGAGAGCTCGTCCTCGTCCGAGGACGAGGAGGACGAGGGGCGGCCTCAGCGGCCGGCCGACGGCGGCGTGGCGGACAACACGCAGGTGCAGGACATGGAGGAGGACTCGGACGAGGAGGCGGACGAGGGCCGCCGGCCGCCGCCGCCGGCATCGCGCTCCCAGCCGCCGCCGCCGCTGCCGCCTAAGCCCGACCAGGTGGTCATCAAGAAATACGACCCCAAAGGTGCGAACGGCGCTCGGAGCCATTTGACCGGGCGTTCGTGGACGGTCTGCCGTGAAGGAATGTTCAGGTACCTGCCAGCAGAGTTTGAGTCAGACGCCTGTGCGTGGGTCTGATGCTCCCAGGTTTTAATCATATTATGCAATCGTGAAAGAAGGTCCCTTGATGCAGACCAAGCTCAACGTTAGTGTTATCGAGGAGGTGGGGTGCTCGCGCCCAGTACCGTGCGCTGGCGAGCAGCATAGGATGGCTGCTGTGACGGCCACCGCCAGTGCGTGACGTGCGGCTCTCCAAAGTCGCCACGTACTGGTTAAGCCTGGCAGCCACCGCAGCCCCCGATGCCGTGTACTGATGATGGCGATGGTGATGATGGTGACGGCGACAACAATGATAGTGATGATGATGATGATGTTACACACCCGCTGACCCGTGGCGTCCGGGCCGGCAGCGGCGGCCAAGCCGTCGCGCGGGCCGGCGCCCGACGAGTACCTGATCTCGCCGATCACGGGCGAGCGCATCCCGGCCAACCAGGTGGCCGAGCACATGCGCATCGGCCTGCTGGACCCGCGCTGGCTCGAGCAGCGCGACCGCCAGCTCAACGAGAAGGTCAACCAGGAGACAGTGTTCGCCACCGGTCAGTGATGGAGCGCGCTCGCACCAGATGTGTGGGATGCGATACATGTTAAGGGGTTCCTGATCTTAGTTGAGGACAAGTGCGCAGCTCTGCAATGTTGGCCCAAAGTGCAATGTCTCAAATGTGAGGCTACCATATGTGTGGTAGTGCAGGATCATTTGTTAAATTGCTTTCATGTGTGTGCGATGCGGATGTTTACTGCATTGTATAATAGAATGCTCCACCACTGTATTGCATGGTATGGAGCGCGCTGGTACAGGTTGACTTGTGCTGTCTGCTATTCCCGATTGACTGCCCTTCTTATTTCCGGCCGTCGCTATTGAGGTCTCCCTCTAAGCTCCCCCCTCCTTCTGCCCCCCCCCCCCCCCCCCCCCCCGTCCGCTTACGCCCACTGCTGTTGCGCGGCTACTGTGGTTCTGCAGTGTGCTCGGTCGTGACAACTGTCCCGCGCGCAGGCGGCGACATCGGCTCCCACCTGCAGAATCTGGCCGAGCGCCGTACCGACATCTTCGGCGCCGGCGACGAGGAGACCATCATCGGCAAGAAGATCGGCGAAGAGGAGAAGCGCGCCGACGACAAGGTGAGGCGCCGGGCCCGGGCGGGGCAGAACAAGTGTGGAGTCAGAGGGGTCGGGGTGGGGTGGGGATCAGAGTCAGATGGGGTAACTGTGGATCACTTGGACTTGCTTGGAACAGGTTGCTCTGGTCACTGCAGTGTGCAAAGTGGATTCTTCTTGCTTTGATGCGGTGCTGGTTGCTTGATTTTGTGCACACTCTGTACATGTAAACAATATGGTATGGTCACATAGTGTTCCATAGGCATGTGGAGCAAGTGGAACTGTCCAGACAGGGTCATTGTCACGCTCATGCTTCGCCCTCTGCCCTTCAATTAGGACGCTGTTTCAATATAGCCCAGGAACCAGAGCGCCCTAATCAGCAACGTAAGTGATGTCACGGATGTGTCGCCCGTCGTGGTTCTTGCACTGCGTTCAACGCTGCCCACTTGTCCTTGGTGTTGTATGATGCTAGAAAGCGGCGCCCCATAAAAATGCTTTCAAAATGAGCTGCCTACCTGTTCGGTGCGCACCCGACGAGAGTGGCACGCGGACTGACTCGGTCCGCCTTCGGCAGAGTATCTGGGACGGCCACACAGCCAGCGTGGAGGCGGCCACGCGCGCCGCCCGCGCCAGCGTCACCATCGACGACCAGATCAGCCACATCCACAAGTCGAAGGGTCTGCTGGAGGACAACGAGCGAGAGCGGATCGGTCCCAAGAAGGGCCGCGACCGACGCGACCGGCGCGACCGGGACCGCGAGCGTGACCGCGACAGGGAGGAGCGCGAGAGGGAGAGAGACCGGGAGCGCGAGAGAGAGCGGGAGAGAGAGCGGGAGGAGCGTGAACGTCCACCGCAGCCGCCGCCGCCGCCGCCGCTGTCGAAGTCGATGGCGCCGCTGCCGCCGGCGCCGGCACCGGCACCGCCGCCACCTCCTCCACCTCCGCCTCCTCCTCCACCGCCGCCGCGCTCCGTGCCGCAGCCGCCGCAGCCGCCGCGGCTGGCGCCGGCGCCGCAGCCGCTGCTGCTGCGGCCTCCGCTGATGGCGCCGCAGGGCGTTATGATGGCACCGCGGCCGCCTGTCGTCCGTAAGTGGCACCGCTGGCCGGGGCCTGACATTGACCTGGCCCGGCGAGTTTGCCGAACAAGTAAGGTGGACGTTAGGGGGTCTCCGTGGGGCGGCGATGTTCGGCTATTCTTAACCTATGTTTTTGACCGAAATAGCGTATTTATTATGCCATTATTGCCTGGTGTTCCGTAGCCGTTGTGCTCCACTGCCCGGGTTCAGTGTCCCACAGACCGACATACTTGTGGTATCACTGCATGAGGCAGGCCATGATGGTTGTGACTTATCATTTACGTTGCATCTGTAAGTATATCACCGACAATGATTTCTCGGGCCGCTTTCCCTTCATAGGCTCACTTTTGTTCTGTGGTTATGCTGATTATTCGTCCCCATTTTCCCACGCGCTGATGGCGTCGCCTTGGCCTAACATGTCGGGTCGCCCTTGTGCCGGCGGCGGCCCTGAGCCAGCCGCCTCTGGTCTGTTGCAGTGCCGCCGCGCCCCATGTTCGCCATGCAGGCCGTGCCGGCCGGCTTCATGCCGCAGATGCAGCCGGCGCCTGGACCGCCGATGCAGGTGGTGAGTGGAGCGCGCCGCGCCGGATCACGTCCGACCGCGTGACGGGCGACCCGGCGGCTCGTGCTGCCAGAGTCACGGTGCGGCTGGAGCGACGGGATCTGACCCGTCTCTGGCCTGGCTAGGGTTTATTGGCTAGTGACGTTTTATGCCAGGCTCCTGTGTTATGTTCTGTGCATAAATGTAGGCATTGTTTTTACAAGGCTGTTGGTTACTTAAGTGCCCGCAGGCAAGATGGGATGGTTTACTCCGTGCGTGAGGATTTTACGCGCGTGGGTTGTGACGGTGTGCTGGTCGCATGTGCCAGATGTCTGCGCCGGAGCCCATGATGCTCAGCAACGAGGACGAGCCACCCAACAAGAAGCAGCGCACCGAGGACAGCCTCGTACCCGAAAGCCACTGGCTGGCCCGCCACCCCACGGTACGTGCCTCTCGGCTGTTTGTGACCGCGTATTCGCCGAGTCAGCACGAAGGCACACTCGACTGCCTGCCGCTCTGCGCCGGACCGTCCCCTGTGCTGAGCAGTGCTGACGGCACTGCTGTCGTCACGGATGAGCCGGTGTGAGATTGGTGCGGTGGTGGTCCCACAGGCGGGGCTGTCGTTACCGCTCGCTGGCTACTGGCGGTGTGCACTGTGTGGCCTGTGTTGCTACAGCTACGGAAACTGCCAGTGTGCTTCACATTCTTTTGCCCAATCTTGTTCGACGAACAAAAGGTGAACTGACCGTCTCTCAGGTGACGTTCCACATGTCTGACCGCTGCCCCCCGTGTTGACCTGACCCCCTGCCCGGATGACCGCAGGGCCAGGTGACGTTCCGCATGTCTGACCACTGCCCCCCATGTTGACCTGATCCCCTGCCCGGATGACCGCAGGGCCAGGTGACGTTCCGCGTGTCGGTGCCGGTGGTGGCGGACAAGCCGGAGTGGCGGCTGAGCGGCCAGAGCCTCTCGCTCACCATGCCGCTCACCGACATGGTCTCCGTGGTGAAGGCCCGCCTGCACGACGAGACCGGACTGCCGCCCGGCAAACAGAAGCTGCTCGGAGAGGTGAGACGCCCCGGCCGGTCGGCGTGTGTCGTCTGCCGCCTGTCCGGCCCCTGTGGCGGACCACTGCAGGGGACGGACGGACCGAGGCGCGCCCGTCCGTACTAACCGCCGGTCACCCCTGACGGCCTGATTGGTCTGGGCCGAAGCTCCGAGAGTTGTTGTGCAAAGGTCGCCTGTTTGCTTTTCATAGACATGGTTCTGTTAGCTGGCCACAGCTTGGGATCATTTGTGTTGTTTAAAATATCTGAAAAGTGAGGTTTTTAAATCAGGGTGTCGTCGTCGTCATGTTATACCGAAGTGGGATATGTTATATGTCGTCATGTTATACCGAAGTGGGATAAGTGCAAAGAATGAAGGGTTGTTAGCCCATGCTAGTAGCGTCGTTCATAACTTGTGCACTGGCTTCGATTCTTTTTGACATCGTACCTTACGTCGATAAAGAAGAGTCTCTGTGGCTGGGTGGATATCAGCAAAGACTATCAGAGTTATCATTGTGGCTGCATTTTAAAATGTACCACTACATGAAGTTTGTTTGCTTTTAGGGCATTTTCTTCAAGGACTCCAATACGCTGGCATATTACAATGTGGCCAATGGCAGCACCATCAACCTGCAGCTGAAGGAGAGAGGCGGTCGGAAGAAGTGATCGTGCAGTCAGCTGTGTCCAGTCAAAGAGGTTCATTCGCGGCCTGAGAATAGCAGTTAACTGCGAGCTGATTTTCGTCGTCATACACAACATCCCACTTTGTGTCGTTCTGTGGCCAGAGCCCGCCAGGCGACCATCATCTCAGATGTGTGCGACCTGCGGACAGAACTTGAGCAGCCCGTACTCTGTACCGAGGTTCGAATACACGGCTGAAGTATGTGTGTTTTTTAAGTGCTGGTTATGGGCTCATGGTAGCTGGAGACTGCAGGCCGAAAAAAGGTAACTGGACTGCTTGAGCCATCCAGCTCGTGGGGACCAGACTGGAGCCATTGTAAAAACCACCGAAATGCTCCCGAAGCGCATCTCTTCATTTACCAGGGTGATGATAGGGTCCGAGGTTGTAGTCGTCCAGCCTGAAGGTGAGACCAGGCAGAGGGCAAACTCGGTCAAGCTATGCCAAACCTCGATGAAAAGTACCAGGCAGGGTCTGATAGAGTACTGCTTTCAACTGTCTGGCTGGAATGGCATATGGCCAGTTGACGCGTAAGATCGGTGATATCATAGTGGAGCAAACTGTACTGAGCAATGCGGCACGTTCAACGGACGCCGCAAAGTTCTGCTGTTGGAACTCATACTGGGTATCTCATCGTGGGCGCCAAGCCCACAAATTCATGCAACGAAAAGGCTCGGATCACATTCAAAAGTTGCATTGCTCCCTTTCAACATCTAGTTTTGAAATGTGACCCGCCCGAACCCGTTGTTTTCACGGAGCAATCAACAACCAGCGGATTTTGGGAAAAACAGCTGCCGTTATACGGATGGCGTGACCCGTTTCCACCCGAAAAAAATCGTCGACGGTCTCGAGCTCAAGCATATGCCTCACAACACAAAGTGATATGGTGACCCAGGTCCACGGTCAACAGCATGGTACGGTGGTACGCCAAATTTGTCGTCAGATCATCTGTTGAGGGAGCTCCAGGCAGCATGATTGTCTTTCACTGATCAAAATTGAGGGTGCCTCGGATACTCGCACATCCATCTCTTCCGTCACGTCGGCTGATCGCAATCCGATGTTTTCAGACATGCACACGTTTGTCGTCCGCGCGTCAGTTTCGCCCCGCAGTGTTTCGACGAGCGTCGTGACTGTTTTGCTAGTTCTCATTCTCAATCACCCCGAGGAGGATTGGGATTTACGGGGTATGTATGGTACTGACGCCAACAATGGTACTTTAACGGCCAGAGAAGACTTGTAGTAAAATTTTACCTGGAAACAACTTCGAGAAGAGGGCTGTTTTTTCGGAACCAGTGCTTATTCTGGGCTGAGAAAGAATGTGCCATCATGAGGTCATGAAGAGATTGTTCCTGAGCAGACATGTGCTCGATGCAACTCAATTAACATGAGAAATCGAATATGAGTATAGTAGGTATTTGTAAGCTCACATTGAAATTTTAATTGAGTTTGCTCTCCAGGCAGTGATTTGCATAGGTTGTTGATTCTGGCTAGTTGGGTTGTGATGCAACCCTGGCTCTGGATTAGGGGGTTGGAAGCAAATTAGGGTCTGAATCATTATGTAAGCCAATATTAACAGAACCTTAAGGCATATCTGCAATTGAGAAATATGTGGCAATACCACCATGATTGCAGGTACATGTGATACGCAAAAGCTGAGGTACTGCCAGCTCAGAACTGTTGTGGATTCTTTTAACCAGAGGGCACAAGAAAGCACTCTAGGATTTTGTTGATGTGTGTGTGTGATAATTTTGTATGGCAATAGTGTGGCAAAATTGCCAATACATGGGACAAGTAAATGCAAGTATAGGATAGGTAAAGCAAAAGCTCTGACTAGGCAACTTTGTAAATTTATTTCTTATCTATCTTACATATTGATGTATCCATTTGCTAATTTTGTTATGCTATGTGAGATCTTGAACTTAGACTCTGAGGCTTGCATCAGTGTAAGAGGTGTTATTCATGCTATCTTGTGATGGTAGTGGTGGTAAATGGGGCTTTACAATCCATTAAGCTCCAAATGTTACATGGTGTCTCCTGCCTTTCATCCTGGCAGGAAGGTTGGACACCATGGGAGATCAAACCCTGTGTCTGTGGCTTTCCTGATACTCAGCTTAACCACTACTCTATCTAGTCCCATTTATTTCATCATTTGTTTTGATAAGACCTTCCATTTATGCTTCAAATCATGGGTGCATTTGCAGCATATTAAGAATATTCTCTTCTGTGTGACATCACATGGGACCTTTGCTGAATGTGTTAGCAGCATGACACACTTTGTTTACATCTTTATGGGTTTTGTGACAATAAGTGAACATGTGAGACAGAAACACGTTTGTAGGTACTACATGCACTCCTTACTGTGGAAACTGCAAATTATCCCATTTGTGATGTAAAAGATATATTTTTGGGAGATCAGACATCTCAAAAATATGCAAATTGACATCCCTGTCAATAGGTACTTGTTAAACAATGTCACCAAGCAAACATTGGTTATGCTATCCATACTCAAGGAAGGCTAAAGAATAGTCGGGATAACATCTCTGATCTCATAATGCAGTCCATGCCTTTGCTCTTTGCCCGTTCACACAGTTGCTCCCTTGGCAGGACAGCATGCTGAGGTTATGGAGCTGACTGCAGTTGACATACTGAGGCTATGGAGCTGACTGCAGTTGACATACTGAGGCTATGGAGCTGACTGCAGTTGACATACTGAGGTTATGGAGCTGACTGCAGTTGACATACTGAGGTTTTGGAGCTGACTGCAGTTGACATACTGAGGTTATGGAGCTGACTGCAGTTGACATACTGAGGTTTTGGAGCTGACTGCAGTTGACATACTGAGGCTATGGAGCTGACTGCAGTTGACATACTGAGGCTATGGAGCTGACTGCAGTTGACATACTGAGGCTATGGAGCTGACTGCAGTTGACATACTGAGGCTATGGAGCTGACTGCAGTTGACATACTGAGGCTATGGAGCTGACTGCAGTTGACATACTGAGGTTATGGAGCTGACTGCAGTTGACATACTGAGGTTTTGGAGCTGACTGCAGTTGACATACTGAGGTTATGGAGCTGACTGCAGTTGACATACTGAGGTTTTGGAGCTGACTGCAGTTGACATACTGAGGTTATGGAGCTGACTGCAGTTGACATACTGAGGCTATGGAGCTGACTGCAGTTGACATACTGAGGTTATGGAGCTGACTGCAGTTGACATACTGAGGTTTTGGAGCTGACTGCAGTTGACATACTGAGGTTATGGAGCTGACTGCAGTTGACATACTGAGGTTTTGGAGCTGACTGCAGTTGACATACTGAGGTTATGGAGCTGACTGCAGTTGACATACTGAGGTTATGGAGCGGACTGCAGTTGACATACTGAGGTTATGGAGCTGACTGCAGTTGACATACTGAGGTTATGGAGCTGACTGCAGTTGGTCATTGTGAAGTTCAATCCCTTTTGCCAATTTCTTATGGTGGCAACTGTTTTGCTCATGTTCACCATTGTTTGGATGATCTTGGCATTGGGTTGGTGGTCCTTTACTCTTGAGTCTCTAAACTTGTGGATTCTTGTAAGCTTCTGGTCATTCACTGAGACATGAAGTGTTGGTCTTAATCATTTGCTGATCTTGTCTGTGGTGTGATTCATGTATGTGTTGCATGTCATGCATACTCTTGGTTTAGATTTGAGGATTCATTCAGGGTTACATGCAGTTATCACTGAGCCTTGTTCTGTCATTGGAATCCCATCAATTCATTCATTTGCTGGGCAATAAACCAAGTGTGGGCAACAATGCCATTGCTAAGGACAATGGCTGGAATAGTTGGTCCACATGTACTATTACGCTGTCCCAAACATTGCGTGCTATTTCTTAGAATTTTGCAAAAAGCCACAAGCAATTTTTTAGGCTCCAACTAAGTTGTAGGCATCTTAGAAGGATGGTTGTCATGGTTAATTGCAGACAAGTGAAACTTCCAGTGCCGTGACACGGGAAGGTGTTGACTTTTGTGTTTTCCAGGTCAACTATGGATCAATCAAGAGGAAACATTGGCAATGGTTATTATGGTGACAACCGTGGGGGAACGGGTGGAGGCGAGGCCCCAGCCAAGAATGATTCATTTGAAGACTATATGTGGATGGCAAATGAAGAGGAGGCAGAAAGGGAGGTAAGAAAACAGTACTTAACTGTGATGGTGACTGAAATATCAGTGAGTACTGTGATCCCAGAAGGCAGGTAATACTTATTGATGTCATTTTTTCCAATCAATGCTTTGCATATACAGCATATAGCTGCAAAGTAGCATGTTGTTATTTTCTGGTGGAGGTGCTCATACAGATGCCTTTATAATTCAGACTAGTTGGGTGGGAATCTGGTCAGCTCAGCATATAAATGTTCTGCAAATGGTTTTGAGCTGTTCAATAATTACATCTACCTTCTTGGCAGATGCTAAAACAAATCGAGGATGAACAAGCAGCTCAGAAATGTTTCAACGAAATGCTGGACGAAGAGGAGCGTATTGTGCAACCAGAGGCAGCCAGCCCATGGCAATCAGGGTACGCGGGAAGCATGGTGCCTTGTTGAGTACGTGAGCTTTGCTGATTTAACTGAGCTCTTGTAATTTTTGTCCTGGATCTTTTGTTCCTGTTAACCAATGAACTGAACCAACTGAACTAATTCATGAATTGAATTCACTGATTGTTTGTTTTGCCTTGTTCTGCACGGCCCAGAATGTTCTGTTTCAGAGTGAAGCTCGCCACTGCTCAAGGGGCTGGGGTATTTATCGTCGGTTTTGTTTTTGTTTAGAAGCAGACAGCATGCATCAACCCTCTTTAGGAGCCTTGCCCACTGTTGGTCATGTTGGCCCTGCAGGCCATGGCGTGGGGGACTCGAGCCCAGACCTTGCACGGTTGTCGGAGATCCCGACCACTCCGTCATTACGCCGCTACCCAGTCAGCCATGTTATGTCCTCTGTCCTGCAGGCAGGTGGGCTGGTCGAGCGGGTGCGCGCAACAGGCGCAGCCGGGCCAGCCCTGGGGCACGCATCCTGCCCCAGTTCCGCCGGAGGAGGCGCTGGCCAACAACATCCGGACCATGTCCGTCAACGACAAGCCGAAGGTGGGGAATAGCTATCTTGGTGACTTGGACCTTGCAGGGGCTCAGTGATGCCAGGTCACAGTGTGTGGGACGATGTCTTCGTGTGGTTGAACCCAGCGGTGGCCGGGATGGTACTGGATCACCTACTTCGGTCAAGGACAAGTCATACCCCCTGCCCACCCCCATGTGTCGCTTCTTTGCAGGTGAAGTCCATACCAGTCGGGGTAGTGCCCCTTCAGGGTGTGGGTTTTCATCGCTGTGCACGCTCTATCGCCCTGCTGTGTGTAGTCAGAACCCTTTCCGGTTGATGGTAAAGTTGGCCGGCGGCGAGTCGTCACCTCCGCATGTCTCCCGCCGCCGCAGGTGGAGCTGAACCCGCTGGCAGCTGAGTTCGTGCCAGGCCAGACGTTCCAGCCGGCGTCGGGCTGATGGCGGCCACGCGGAGCGGGCGGCGACAGTGGTGGCGGGACCCTCCTGTGTGTAACTGAGGGGTGACGTGGGCGGCACCGGCGCCCCAGTCGGCGCCGGCCGCCCGGACCTGTACCGGCGACGGCACGGTGCGGCGTCGACCAGCGCCGGCCGTCGGGTGCGGCCCAGTGGCGCCGGGTGTCCGGGGCGGTGTGGTGTGGGTGCTGGCGGGTGTAGCGGCTCAGGCCTCTGCTAGAAACCTTTGTCTCGTTTTCCGACCGCCGCTTTAGTCCCGGGCGAGAGTGACGTGGGCAGCTCTCGGGTGCGTCGTGTCGTCACGTTCCTCATCTGGGGTGGTCTCATCTCCACGGGTACAATAAAATGGCTTCCCGGTGTCCCTGGGCGAGGGAGGGTGGGTGACAATCAGGTTCGTGGTCTTGACAGACCTCGGCCTTGTCATTCCTGTTTCTGGCCGTGGTCTAAGCTGCGCTGCATTTGACAGAGAGCTGGTCACGTTTCTGTAAACGAATAATGATCTGTCTTTGTTGACATCAACCCAATCAAATATCGTCCGCCTTTCGTACCGCGTTTTGTAACCCGACTTTTTTCGCATTGGCTGTTCACCCTGTCGTTTTTGTTGAAGACTCATCTGCGAATAGATGAGAACATTACAAAAGATATTCGCCTGTCAACAAACCACTGTGTGGAATGTATCACGCACTATCGGCTGCGATGTTTGAGCCCGCGTACGCTGTGCAGGGGATTCGCATAATATGAACGACAATAAAAGCCAACCTTTTGTTCAGGGATACCATAAAATACATAACTTATGCAGAACGAATTCTTCTATTCCAGTGCATGTGCTGTTTTCCATGAAAGCTGTTGAGGGAACCGTGAAGCAGCCCTCGTGTTTTTCCATGTCAAAATATATGTTTCTGGAGAAACACAATTCGCCGAGCATCCGCTCTATCATACTGCCTAAGTGGCGGCAGCGAATATTGGTAACTACTTGGTATGCACAGTGTCATGGTGATTGCCGCGAAATGATGGACAATGGAAGTTAATTGACCAGCACAGCTGGTGGAGGTGGGCGTAGAGGCGTATAATGAAAGAACAGTTTTGATCCTCTTGTTAAGTATTGGGGATGAGAAGCCCCATTTGATTACAATAATTGTTATTGCTACTGCGGTATTAACTGCAATAAACGAGTTGCACAGAACGCAGGCCATACGCGCCATGCGGGTCCGGAGACAGCGTTGGGTCAAAACAGATCGAACAGGGCAGGACCGGCCATCGAGGGGGACGGGCGAGACGGTACTGGGTGGGACACACCTGGCAAGAGATAACAGGACGGGACTGGGGATGACAGGACATGAAAACGCAGATCCATGCAGGACAGCGTGGGCGATATGGCACAGCGGGATACAACAGGATAGAGAGTGGCAGGTTCTTGCCCGGTCTAAGACCGTACCGGACTGGCCGAAACGAAGCAACCGAACCGTACTGAGCCCGGTTGCACAGGGCAACAGATGATGACACATATGCCAGAGCAGGATATAACGTATTAAGGCGGGATGGAGCCGCGATGAGCCAGCGCGGGGTACCACAACCCGCGGCAGGGCTGGACAGGACGAAACATAGCTCAGTGTGGTTCAGCTCGGCCCAGTCCTGGAACAGACCACACCGGGCAGGACAGGATCGGGGTGATGACAAAGGACAGTATGGGGCTACACAGCACATGCACACTTTCTCAGCCCGGTACCCTCCAGTGCAGGACCGAATCGAAACAAATGGGACCGAACTGCACACGACAGTGCAGGACAGTGTAACTAGGACGCGACGGGGTAACATGCGCTCTGTCCTTTCCCATCTTATCCAGTCCTAAATTTGGTCACAACTTGCCAAACAAGTCTGTCGGAAGCCTGTTTGTACCGCGCGAAATGACAAAACGAGAAATGCATCGAGTAAAAAAATTAAGTGAAAAATTGACGTATTCATGTGTAATTTGTATCAGAGATGGCTGGGAAAGTGACGCGCGTGGGTAACAAAAACCAGGGCGGGAGGGGCGCTGGGGTTCTCCACGTGCATCGGGTGTCGGAAGGTTGGTTTGGGGTAGGTTGCCGCGGGCGCAGGTGACTTGCGTTGTTAATCTTGTTTCTTGACTGCTATTGTTTGCCTTGTCAGGAAGCCCTATCAAATGTGCGAAAATGGTGGTCCCAAAGATGTGGTTGAGTCGTCATACATCGCTACATCGCTACACGCTGAACGGCGCCGGTTGACTGCGGACTGCAGCAGCCAGGGTTTAACCAGTGCCAGTGACACTGTAATAATGCAGCCAAGCCATGAAAAAACACATTATGTTGAACATGTCCGCCTCATCAGCAGCATTGTGACGATTCTAGAGCATCCACACCTTAAATATGAGAGCCCAGCATGGCCACTGCCAATTTCAGGGCATAGGAAATACAAATTGGTAGTTGGAGTTAGTTTCTATTCACCAGGTGTAGAACATGGGTGTGATTTAGGCATCCTGCACAGTGGGTGAATGTTTTGCAGACTTGGGACTGCAGGGGCCAGTCTGCCAGAAATACATTTACTGTGCTGGATGACTCCGCCACATTGGTGTGCTGAACCCCCTTCCTGTGTGGCCTAATTTGCCCAGGCCCAGACTGCTTAAAATGCAGGTGGCACCTTACATAGAACATGTCCGGCTCAGCACCTTGACCATACTCAAGCAGTGTGCACATGTTGTACATTTCAGTGCTTTGAGTTTTTATGGTGCTGAGAAAGCATTTTGCAAGTCACCCCAGAACATTTTCAGGCTGAAGTAATTCAAAAATGCAGTGCAATATCTCCTGGCCTGAGGTTGGTGCATACAAACATGAGTCTCAGCCCATGTGGGTAGGCATGCAGTACAGTTGATATATTTTTGCAGGCTGAGCCTGTGCCAAATTAGGCAGAATTTTCCAGGGATTCCTTGTATTTTATTTTTTAAAGTCTTGTTGCATTATACCGCTTTTTATCATGTTTCTCTGTATAATATTTTCATAATTCAGGACAAAGTATCATCATAATTCCTTGAAACATAAGCTCTGTGATTTGTATGCACTTGAGTTGATGTTGATTATGCACCAAACTTGTGAGAGCTCAGAGTTATAGGGTATGTGTGCTCTGAAATTGCTTCAGTGATTGGTGATGCGATTCCAAGTTACATGGTCATGTTCTGTGCAACATAAATTCAGTCTAACTTGGTGCCTCTTGATGGTCTTTTGGGCCTGATGTTGGCATGTTAGAGTCCTACATAGGTGGTAATCAAGGTTCTTCTGTGTGCTTGGGAGCCCCCTCCCCCTGTTGATTTTTTAAAACATTGTGTCTAATCTGTGTCATCATTGTCACCATCATCATCATCTGAATGTCATCTCAGACTGCCCATCATCAGTGCTGCTCAAAGAGCTTGTTTCACTAAAGTTGTACAAAACATTGCCCATGCACAGTTCAATATCCAAAATGATTGAATCCTCTGCAATGCCACTTGCATTGACTAATGCTGGTTACCTGGGGCT